TGAAAATTGCATGTGTACCCCATTTAAAGATGGGAATATCCGATGTACCCAGCCCAGCACCAACTTGCATCTATACCCCCGAGGGCGTTCAACTTTCGCGTAGTACCCAGCTTTTCCCCTGTGCGAATATTTTTGTAGGTGATAACCTTTTTTTTTTTTCTTTTTTTTTTTTGTAGGTGATACCCTGGAATCAGAGCCCGACGAAATTTTATGCTCGTGCCCACCACCAAGTAGGCCGTTGTCGCCCCAACGGCTGGCTGGGTATGAGCATAATTTTTGCCATCGGGGTAGCAGGGTATAGTAACAATTTGCCCTCTCCTCCTCAGGTCCCCCGGGTATGCCCATAATTAATTTTACCGGGGTATGTCCATAAATTGTCCATACCTGTAGTTATAAACGCAATTTTGCGGTACCAACCTGGGGGGCCACCTCGGTCTTGGGCATGCAAACAATTTCCACCAGCCGTTTTCTGGGTATAGACGCAAGTTGGCACTGGGACTGGGCATATAGCCGGTATGCCCATCTTTAAGTGGGGGGGCGTACAGATGCAATTTCCCCTAAAAACTACGGACATGGATGTTGTGCAGGTAAAAGGTATATGAACAATCTCGATCGTGCGGAGCGAGCGTCTTAATCATTTCTTTTCTGTGTGTTTTTTTTTTTAATATTTTCTGTTGGTTGATTTCGTCTTCTTTCTAGACGGGGTCTTCTTCTTCAGATCCCTCCCTTCTTCGCCCCCGCCCCCACCCACCCAACACCCCCCCCGCCCAATCGGTCTATTCTAATTCATTTATTTGTTTGCTGTAAAAATCCGAAGGCTCCCCAAAAATTTGTGCTGCCGTCGATTTGACTGGTGGGCGATCAACGATCAACGGACAGAGAGATGAAGAGGAAAAGATAGAGAGATGCCTGCTGCTGCTGATTATGAGCAAGGATCCGGCTATTGATGGGGCCCGATGCGTGCTGATCATGATTAGCGTTGTGATGGCGATGATAAGTATGGTGATGATGATGACGATGGTGAGTGCGCATTTCATGATGATGATGATGATGCTTATGATGATGATGCTCATGATGATGATGCTCATGATGATGATGATGAATGATGGTTGTGGAGTGTAGTTCAAGGACTGACGAGATGGGGAGAGGAGCAACTTGGTAGTGGTGATGATGGTGTTGATGATGAGTTGACGATGGCGATGAAGATTGGTGCGACTCGATGAGGATGAGGATGATGACGATGATGTCCACGATTCATCGTTCCGTTAATGAGGGTAATTAAACCACAAGTAAACGATGAATTACTCTCATCATCCGATCCGAACTTGCAGTCCGACACCTGTCGTCGCCACAAGAAAAAAAAATGAGAGGCGGTAACGTCAAACGCTGGCCCCGCCGTTGATGATAAATTCGATCGGACGCCGCGCCTCGGTTTCGTATCGCGCCTCCAGAATGTGAGGTGAGGTGTCAGACCCGTGGGTATGAGCTGGTCGGGGGGGTATGAGCTGTGCTTTATCAGTGAAGGACCGTGATGATATGCTGAATTGGATTATGATAATGATGATGATGATGATGATAAGGATGATGATAAGGATGATGATGATGATGATGATGAATGATGGTTGTGGCTTCTTAGCTCAGCCAGTAGCTGTGCGTGTTCAGCGCAGTTGAGGGATTAAGCGGCAAAATGAGGGGAGTAGTCTAAAATATAGTGGTTGGTACATGGGTGTTCATTTCGATCATTGTTTCCACGTCGTCGCATCGGAGTTTCTCATCTTGTTTCTTTATAGAATATATACCTTTGTGTCCTTCGGGACATCCGTTAAAATTGGAACGATACAGAGAAGGAAGATTAGCATGGCCCCTGCGCAAGGATGACACGCATAAATCGAGAAATGGTCCAAATTAAAAAAAAAAAAAAAAGAAGAAGAAGAATATATACCTTTGTATCTCTGCACGCGGGTAAGAACGACGCTGATGACTGTGATGATCCATAGGTAGCAGCACTGGCTATGGCGGCCATAGCCAGTGCTGCTACCTATGGATCATCACACCGCTGGCTGCTCGCCGCTCGCCGCCATGGCTATGGCGGCGAGCAGCCAGCGGTGGGGGGTGGGGGAGGGGGGGGGGGCACGCTTAAACCACCCACCAGTAGTTCCTAAAGTCCTGCCCGTTAACTCGCCACGATTTTAGGAAACGTACGTACGGGCCACTACAGGAGCGACCAAATTCATCCAACTAGAAACGTTTCTACTCTATTTTTTTTCTGCGGATGATAGCTGGGCCAAGTACTGAATCGTCTCATATCATGCTGCTGTGTGGAATTTTTCACGGACAGACCAGACCATTCTGAATCGTCTCATATCATGTCCAGGTTCAGACCCACCCTCAGCTCAGTCCGTGGAGTAGTGGGGGTCACCTGTGCACATAGGTGATACTTCTGACGGCGGCCATGGTTGCGCCGCAATCTGTTTACCTCCCTCTCTAGCTCCCTCTCTCTCTCTGTTTCTCCTTCCCGTTCGTCCTTCTCCCTCTCGTCTTCGAACTCTTCTTCCCGGTTGCCCCTCTCTCTTTTTCTTCTTCCCGATCGCCCCTCTCCCTCTTTTTTTCTCTCTCCGTACCTTTTCTCCTGTCCTCTCTCTCTGCCCTATCGCGCTACCCTTTTTTGTGCTTGCTCTCCCACCGATTCCATGGATGAAAGTGTGATGGAATGAATGTTCATGGAAGTTTGATGATGCTCCATCACTGGGTCATGAAAGTTGATTGTATGGTCGTTCACGCAGGGAGGGAGGGAGGGAGGACTGGGTGAATGACTCTCCATGACTGATGCTGAGTCAGCGCCTAATTAGTCGGATGAGCTCTCTTTCTCTCTCTCTCTCTCTCTCTCTCTCTCTCTCTAACTATCTATCTTTTTGTGCGGAAAAATTGTTTCGTTTCCGAAGCGTCTTGTGAAGATTAATTCTCCACGGGCTTTCGACTTGGGAGGATCTTTTTCACCTTGCACGTTCCTTCGCTGATCTGGTTCTTCTTCATCGTTTCTTTCCTACTTGCGTCACTCTGTTGAGTGACCAGTTGTTAGGAACGATTACTATATGTAAGAAAAAGAAAAAAAAGATAATATACTGAAAAAAGATGAAAAATGACCTACATGGAAATGAATGGAATCCTGAGCATCACCTGGAGAATGCTGCATGTTTTATATTGCAGAATTTGGATGTAATGCTCAGGCAATTTTTTTTTAATTTTTTTTCTTCATAACGTGTCTTTTCTTTTCTTTTTTTTTTTTTGGGTCCGCGTTCGGCCCGAACGCCGGTTACCTTGATGATGACTGTGAATCGGTTAATTGAAGAAGTCCCAACAGTTGTCAGTAGACAACGTGTTTAGTATTTGTAGATCATTTTAGGCAGTATTGTTAAGTATTTTGGAGATGCGATAAAAGATGCACACGCTGCCGGATTCTTCGGTGATAGCTGTCAATTTAGGGATCCTCGTGTATGGCTTTTCCACTATATTATAGTATAAGGACAAAGAGCATCATCATGCGATGCCTGCCCTTATGAGTGGGTATGACAATTCTGGGCTCGTTTTCCAGGCAGGAATAAGGGGAAAGGAATAACTACCTGAATTCCTGAAATAATAAAACGTCATATATATAAAACTAAGAGATGATAGGCCGCTCGTGCATGAGCTTAACTACTAAGCCTAGTGTGCTGTGGTTTGCGTGAACACTACCGTCTTCACCCAAATAGAACGCCCGGTGTGCTATAGCTAATACCTATCGCCTTTGTTCGAGGGAAGGCAGGTAATATCCATTCCTAATATAGATAGATAGATAGATAGATAGATAGATAGATAGATAGATAGACGGATTAGGGGAAGAAGTGTCGATATTTGCTTGGACTTTCTCGTTTTCTGGCTACTTGCGGTCTTCTTTTTAATTCTTCCTTTTTATTAGCTTCTAAATCTAGGCTACCAGCCGGGCCGCCCGGGTCACCCTGTTATCCCGGACGGCCTGGCCGTGCAAGGAGCAGGGAAGGTCCCAGCAAAAAAAAAAAAAAAATCCGGAAGAAACTATGGTATGCAGAAAATAAACTGAACAACTTTTGCATCAGGGTCACATCGAAATTCTTCACCAAATTTTAAATAAAAATAAAAATGAAAAGTAATTCTAGGCTGTTTTTCCGGGCGCCCGGGCATCCAACTTGTGCCTGGATACACGCCCGGGTTCCCGGCCGGGCATGACCCCCGGGCAGGGGTCCGGTCAGCCTCAGCGCAAAAAAAAAAAAAAAAAAAAACTGAAGTAAAAAAATTCCAGGAAAAAAATTGCAATACAATCAACTTTTGGCTGAGGGTCACATCAGATATCCTCACTGATTCGGAGATTAAAAAAAAAAAAAAATCGCACTAAGGCATCCCCCTTTAAACCCCCTTAGCCCCTTGAAAACAAATTTATACCCCCCCTTCCCCCCCCTTGAAAGGGAACTCTCAAAAAATGAAAAGAGCCCGGATTTGGGGTCCTCTGGGAGAGCACAGAAAGGCACAATTTGGGCTAATGCTAGGCTACCAGAGTGGCCCGGGTCCACTTGCTTGACCGGGCCAAAGAAGTACAAATGAACAAAAATAAAAAATATATGTTTATTAAAAAAAAAATAATAATAATTTGGTGAGGAATTTCGATTCGACCCACAGTGGAATGCAAGTGGTGGGTTATGCATGTGTGAATTTTTTTCGGCGGAAAAGAGTTACTGCAAGCGTGCTGAAAATTTCTGTTTTCCGGGTTATCCTTCTGTTTTCTCATATTTTTTCGTCTGCTAAGTGGTGGGTTATGCATGTGTGAAATTTCGAACTTGATGCCCGTTCCTTTCTTTCTTTTGTGTGTTTAATGGGGCACGTCTTTCCATTTCTTGAAGCGGAGCAATTTGCATTGCATCACATTTCATAAAGAACCCTCTTCTTATTCCTGATGCAATATGGTAATACTTGATATGCATGATTTGCAGGTGTCATGCCTCATTTGAGTTTCTCCCAGACTACAGGTGCGATTGCCGGGGACCAATGACATCTCTTCCAAAAGATGCTCGCAAGCGTCTGCTATCTACAGCCGAAGCCCCTTCTTCGTCACAAAAGGGGTGCTTGACAATTCCAAGGAGTGACTGCATTCCTAGCGCTTTCCCTATTTACCTGGGATGCCAAGAAGATGTGTCATCCTCAATGATGATGATTGCACGGTCCTTAGCAGAGGATTTCAATGATGCTGCTGAAAGAGGTGAGCGAGAAGTACATAACGACACTTCCACTTTTCAAGTCGTTGTTCTGGAACTCTCCATTGCACAATTCCACTGCTTATGTATGTCCCGGCAGGTGTGTTTCTTGAAACTGTGTGTGTGTGTGTGTGTGTGTGTGTGTTGTGTGTGTGTGTGTGTGTGTGTGTGTGTGTGTGTGTGTGTTGTGTGCGTGTGTGAGTGTGTGTGTGTGTGTGTGTGTTTGTGTATGTGTGTGTGTAAGAGAGAGAGAGAGAGAGAGAGAGAGAGAGAGAGAGAGAGAGAGAGAGAGAGAGAGCATGGAAGAAATACTAAAACTTTTTCTGCTATCGTCTCAGGATCGGGGGTTGAGAGAAGCGATAATCTTGCATCTCTGCTACGGAACCGCGTCTGTACGCAAGCGGACAATCAGTCAGCCAGAGAGTCACAATTGACAGTGGACGGAAAGGAGGTACAGGGAGACATTTGCTGCCTGTCCACTCCGCAAGCTGCGGAGTTGGTAAACGAAGGCAAATCGGAACGTGATATTTTGGCACTGAACTCTTCGACATTTTCCTCTTCAAGAAGAAAACATCGGCGGAAAAGACTTACTGCAAGCGTGCGGAAAACTGGGCGCTGGTCAGTGTCAGGAAATGGCCAAGCAAGGGAATTGTCAAACTTGTCCTCGTCTGAGGATACTGACGAGACATTGAGCACAGAGTCGTTTTGGTTGGCAATACAAAGATTCTCATCGGCGGGCGAGACTGCGCCTGGAGAATCGTCTTCTGTGGGTTGTACCACGGGGTGTATGGAGTGTGGGCAGTGTTATTTTGGAGTGGATGTAACGTCGTCTCAGGCAGAGGGCAAGCAGCCGCCCTTCGTTAAGAACGGAGGCAACGGTGTTGGCTTGTCTGTAGTCAGGAAAATAGGTCCTGGAAGTAGTTTGTTGCTAGGTGGAGAGAGAGGAGAGATTGCTCGGTTGTTGGAGCCGATGCAGAGCGGCTTTACACACTGCTGGGAGTCGTCGCTGCCAGCATGCTGTTCTAACGAGTCGGCTATCTCTCAACCAGAAAGCAGTGGACTCGCCAACGCAGGGGCTGCAGAGGAGGAGTTTGATTTGGAAAAGGCAGTTAGTCATGGAACAAATGCAACTGCTCTCCCTCTGTGGGAGCATCAGTCACAATGCAAGTGGGTGCTTGCCTTGGAATCTCATGAAGCTTCATGCATACTTGCCGATGCTGGTCCTCAGCAGCAGACAGCTCAGGAGAAAGTCCTCGATGGCCAATCACCTTTCCAGATTGCGCTTGAAACAACAAGGGTGCGTTGTGATGAGCTTGTGGGGGTAGGTTCAAGTGTAGCAGTACAAGGGAGCAATCCTTCCTGTTCACACTCTGTTGACTCGGGAGGAACGGTCACCGTGTCCGAGGCAGGTGCCGACAGCACCGGAGGAGGTCATTTTGTTTCATCTTGGTCTGTCAAGGGCGATGATGGTGGTTCTGAGCAAGGAGAGAAAGAAAACGATGGGAATCTCCAGATTGATTTTCCGGAGGACCCAGCTTACGGTCACACTGCACCTTTTCCGGAGGACACAGCTTACGGTCACACTGCACCTAATGGTTACCTAAGGGAAGCTGATGTGAAATGTCGTGCCAGCGTTGGAGAGGCTCACACATCAGTTTCATTGCAGGCCATGGAAAGTGTTCTGTTGGAAGGAACAGTTGTCTCCCAAGGGGAGAATAAAGGTCATGCTCTACAGGGGTTGGATGGATTGGACTTAGCGGGCGAAGACCGTGTGTCGGGGGGGCCAACTGTTGCTTCTGTCAGATTGGAAGCCCTTGAGCACGATCCACGCCAGGTGGTCGAGCAGCGGTCACTTTTCGATCATGGTGATAGGAGTAGCAACAGAGAATGGATGATGACTGATCTTCGCGCTGGAGATCTGGATGCTGGGGGTGTACAAGGAGGAGAGGAGGAAAGCTTGGGAGGGGTGTGTATGGAGAGTGGGTTGGAATATAGGTGTCCGTCGGGGGATGCAGCTGTGTGTGCCAAGGGGGATGTGTCTGAGGAACACACAGCGACTTCGCCGCTGTGTGATGGAGATCTGGAACAGCAGGCCCAGAGAGTGCAGGGTGATGCTGACACACAGCAGAACCAATGCTGCGAGTTGCAGGCAAAGATCACTGTGTCTTCTGAAGCGGATCAGCAGGTGATTTCTGAAGATGCAAAAAGGACAACGAACGGGCAATCAGGTGCTGCTTTCGAAATGGACCCACCTGCAGAGGACAAGGAATTGTGGCTGCTGACTCGACCAGAGGGAGAGTTGATCCCAACGTTGTGCGAGAGTCTGCAGGTTTGTTGTGTGATAAATGGCGGGGAAGTGAGTGAATATAACCATCCCTCTCCTAGCCAAGGTCAGGTTGTTGATGCAGATGCTCTTACATGGCCGACTCCTCCCCTCGAAGGAAGCAAGCCAGGGGATTGTTCTCTCGCGCTCGATAATGCTGGTGACCTCCTGTCTGATGTACTGGATTTTTCGGAACCTGCTTTTGATGGCCACCAAGGTAACACAGTGTCTCTGTCCTCGCTGGGCAGTGACTGCAAATCTCAGGATGGCAAGCTTTTGTCTGTCAAGAGTGGCGATAACGATTCATCTGCGAATTCCTCGTATTCTTCAATCGATGATTTGCTGATGAACATGGTTGATCCGTCCTCTCGCCCGGGACTGGAGGGGACAAGCGTGGACGCGTCTTCTCACCCAGGAGTGGGCGCAACTAATGCGGTTGCGATCGAAGATAGTAAACTCGTAAAAAAGGGCGATTGCGGTGTTGTTTCAAGAGAAGCAGAGGCGGTTGGTTGTTCCCCTAGCGTATCTGGTCAACCTCGTGGCCAGGTGTTCCCTTTCACGAAGTCGTCGCTGGAAGAAGTGGTTTCGACGGAAGAATGTTCTTTTGTTTGTTATGTGAACTTGTTGGAGGCTGGTTGTGACAGAAATAGGTGGAAGGAGAGCACCACTGGTACTATTGCAGATGAAGCACAGATCTGCTGTACAGAGTCTCCTGGGGATGCAGTTTCTGCACTCAATTTACGTGCTGCCGATGGGAGGGTGCTCGAAGATTCTGCCACTGGCACCGACGTGCTAGTTAAGAGCGATAATGAGGGGAGGGTTTTGTCTGTGGACTCTTTTCCTGACAAATCTGTTGCGATTTCTGAATCAACTTGCTGCTCGGACGTTAACAGAGAGAATGTGGGGAGTGTTTTGCCTGTGGACTCGTTTCCTGACAAATCTGTTGCTGATTCTGAATCAACTTTCTATTCTGGTGGCAAGGTCGCAGCTGAAGAACTGGCCTCTGTGGAGGTAAATGGACAGCAGCGTGGTGAAACCTCACTGCAGAAGATGGAGCTTGATGGCTTCGTGTTGCAAGGAGAGGAGGTGGTTGTGCAGACTGGGGATGCGGAATTACTGTCTGTTGAAAGCAGGATTATCAGTGCGATAGATGACAGAGGCCTATCAGTACTGAAGGGGGAGGAGGGAGTGTTTTTTAAGGACTTTGCGTTGTCACAAGAAGATGAGAAGGCGACAGAAGAGCGGACAAATGGTGAGATAGAAGGCACTGGGGCCTCGGTACTAGGGGAGGAAAAGGGCGGGTTTGGTGTCTTTGCATTGTCACAGGGAGAAGAGGAGAGGACATGCGATGTTCACGGAGACGAATTGGTTTCTGTGGAAGCTGGGAACGACTGTGAGACCGGTGAGTGTGAAAGCAGTGGGCAGTCTTCATTGCCAGGGTGGAGTGCAATTCTTGCAGGCTTTGCATTGTCTCAAGAGGAAAAGACAATGTTGACTAGCATCGACGGAGCATTAGCTTCTTTAGACGCCACAAGTGCCATGGAGAAAGTGAGCAGCAGGCAATATTCACCTCAGTTCAGCAAGCTGGTGTGTCAAGACTCCTCTTTATCGCGAGGTGCAGAGGAGAACGCTTTGGACATTGGCAATGGACTGGAAATAGCAATTCTTGGTCCTCGTCCCTCGAGCTCTTTCGATAAGACCACTCCACCAGAAGAAGACGGGCCATCTCCTATGGAGGAAATTGGTGCGGTCAAGAACCTTGGCAGTGACTTCGATGTTATAACAGATGGGGTGACACATTTGGAAAAAGTGGAGAGGCAAAGCAATGTTCTATCTGTTGAATCTTGTTCGTCATTGGGAACTCTATCATTGGAGGTGCAGCACGGGACACCTACGAAGAAGGACACCAATGTGGTCGACAATCTTGATAACGACTCTCATGCAGTAGGAGATGAGGTCGCACAATTGGAAGAACTTGAGAAGCGAAACAACATTCCGTTGGTTGTGTCTCAGCCGTCGTTGGATACACTAACTTCGGATATGCAAGAACCCACCATGGAAACCCATCCAGAGCCGCAATGTGTTTCGTCCTCTCCAAAGTGCAGCTTGCCCAGTGAGAGGAGGGATGGCAGTGGGGTTTGTACGGCGAACAGGAGGAGCAAGGTGGGTGATGCGCAGGACAGCACCTCAGATGCTGATCCCTTGATGAAGGAGCTGACGGAATGTGACAATCGAGAGTCGGGCTGTTTTTCATCTGGGTCAAAATGCATTTTGCCCGGTGAGGGGAATGAGAGTGAGCTGGGTATAGTCATTTTTCCAAATGACGAAGGCAAGGCCGTTGATATCCATGAAAGTGTGGTGTGTGATGATAGCGTTGGCAGTTTGAGCTGTGGTAATGCCGCTGTGATCGTCTCTTCCCAGTGTGATCAGATGAAGGGTCCGTTATCTCCCCTTCAAGAAATTGGAACACACGGAGAGAAACGCCTACAAGGTAGACAGGAAGGTGATGTCTTGGATCCAGATCCGGTCTTGTGGTCCATGCCTGAAGAAGGGTCAGCTAAATGCAGGACAGACGCTGACGGCTATTCAAAGTGTTGTCATGACGTCTCCAGGGAGGCTTGTGGAGTCTGCACCTCTCCAAAGGAGGAGAGACCAAGAAAACGATTGCGGGGTACGAGGGAAAAGACTGAAAAAAATGCTGTTAGAGGAATTAAGAGTGCCAGTGAGCGGTTGTCGGTTAATAAGGAAAGATCCAGTGAAGGTATTATCTCTGCTCCTCAGCTCAGGGCAGAGGCAACTAGCGATTCTCGGATGAGCGCAGAAGGTGAGGAAGCAATAGTTGGTGCCGATTCTCCGGGTCGAGGGTTTTCGACTCAGCCTCATGATGCTTCTGGTGAAAGGGAGGTTTGTTCGGGTTCAGACCACCGTGCAGAACAGAACGATCGCCAATCATGGCAGATGACAGCCACTCCTCCCCAGCTTCCGGCGAAGGGTGAGCGGTATGATCGTGAGGCACATGGACATGCATCCTTACGGACGAACAACGCCGAGAAAACTGCCAGTGCGGATCAGTGTCATGTGATTGTGGCAAGCACGGCATGTACATCGGCTGCAGCTGCTGATGAGAGACAGCATTCCGTCAAGGGCGCTAAGAGTCGAGTCGACACTGCTTGTGGCTCTTCTGAGAGTGAATCTATTAGAAAATCGCCACCACCAAGACCTGCAAGCGGTGTCAGGTCTTCACATGTCACCGCGAGAACACTCGTGTGTGTTAAAGAAGGTGATAGTGGCCTAAAAGCACCTATGAATGCAGGGACAAAACCTGTAAAGTCAAGTTGGATTGATGATTGGGAGATCATTGATGACGATTGTTCAGACAGTGAACCGGAAAAGTGTGAGCTGGACAGTCGAGAAGTGGTGAGGGGTGTGAGGACTTGTGTTGGGAGAAGTGTTCGAACGAGGTCGTCGCCCTCGCAACCGGACTGTCCTCAACTTCCATTGGCTCCGATGGCGAAGAGTGAGACTGTGGAAACCAAGAAAGTGCACCAGAGTAATGCGAGGACATGTGTCGGGAGTAGTAGCGTTCGCACAAGGTCGTCGCCCTTGCAACCGGACTGTCCTCTTCCATTGGCTCTCGTGGCGAAGAGTGAGATGGTTGAAACCAAGAAAGTGCACCAGAGTAAGAAAAGAAAACGTTCCATCAAAATACTTGACGATGACGATGATGATGAGGATAATGTATCATCTTCAAGGGGTGTGTCAGAGGCCAAGTCTATTGTGAAAACAGAAACCGTAGACCGATCGGAAGAAGGTAATCATGTTTCGTACAAAGACGAGCATGAGAGGAACGTCTTAGAATGTGCAGAGGCTAAGTCAACTTGTGCACATCAGTCTCGTGGAAACGAGCATCATGTGATGGGAAATGAGCTGCCACGGAGTGGGAGAGCTCATGATGTGGTTGGGATCAATCTGCCCAGCTCAAGCGCTCTTGCGCGGAATCTTGGACGCAAGAGCTCTTGCAGACGGCGCCTTGATGTTTCAGCTGCTGCTGAACTGGACTCTTTCGTCAAGAGTGAGGGATGCAGGGCAATACAGGTCGCAAAGAGCAACAGCTGTACACAATTCGTGGACAAGTTGCAGAATCCGGATGATGGTGCCCGGATCGACACGGCTACTCAGAAGCCGACAACTGCTTCGGAGCCGCCAATTGATTTGACCGAAGGATCTGAGTCCTGGGGCCTGTCTCAGGAACCTGAAGGACCAGTGGCAGAAGACAGTGTTGCGCACTTTGGAGAGAAGCGTGATGCAGTCGGAAGTTTGAAAGACGTAAGGGAATCTGTTTGTGGAGCATTTGCTCAAGCATCCTGGGGCCTGTCCCAGGAGTGGGAATGGAACAACACTGTGTTCTCAAGGGAGGAGGGAGACGAGGCAGGGCAGGCGATTTGTGAATCGTCCATGCAAGGCAATAATGATGCTGTGACTAATCTTGCTGAAGAGGGTGGTTCGAAAAATCAGTGGATTTGTTTGCGAAGAGAAGGGACACAGCCGGTTGCATGCAATGATGCAGAGGAGAATGAAGCCCCAACTCGACACGGTCGGGGGTGTGAAGAGAGTGAGCAGAGGATAGACGATATCACTGTATCGGGAAAGGATAAGGAACCTGTTGGATTTGTAGAGGGTACCCAGGAGTCACTGGCCTGTCAGCAGATCTACGAGGAATCGGAGAACATGAGAGAGGGTGCAATGCTTGTCGGTGAGAGTGTTGGTAATAGTCGCTCGGAAGTACAGCCATTGGGAAGCAGAGCTGGGACAGATAACTGTTCCGGCGTACAGGAGGATGTGCTTGAAAGGGGGGATGTGGAAGGAACGAGCCTTCTTGGGAAAGAAGTGCTGCATGAATTGGAAGACTCTTACTTGCCTGAAAAGGTAAACGCCGTACTAAACGGGGATGTGAAGGATGACTGCTCAAAGATCCAAACTGAGGGCGGAGACGGAGATTGCACCTTGAAAGAGGTGGCAATCGTAGAGACGGAGGCGGCTCATGAACTTGTGGTGTCAGCAGGAGTTTCCTCTTCGAGTGAGGTAGAGCAGACGGAGGCCGGTCCTGCTCCCGAGGCCACAGTTACGATGGAAGAGGCGAGCTGCCAAGCTAGGGTTGCGGACACAGAAGACGTCCCGTCCAAACCGCTCGTAGCCAAAGTTGTCGAGGCCCTCACGGAGACCAGAGATATGGATGGCAATGGGGGAATTCAACCTCCGCAAGAATGGGTTTGGAAAGGAGGCAGCACGAAGAGCAGAGACGGTGAAATTTCACACTCGAACTTCCTGAAGCGCACTGTTCGGAAGATGGATGTGGCCTCTTCTTTTGACATGGCGAAACATGCCTTGTCACGGAAGGAAGGAATAATTAATGCCCAGATGGATGTTGGAGCAGAGAGAGACCGAAGAAGTAACCAGATTGTTGTTAGGGATATTACCAAGACTGTGACAGCGAGAGAGGAACCTTCAAGAGGCTTGAAGAGGGGGCGTGAAGAGGATGACCTGGAGCGAGACGGCGAGGTTGGGAGAGATGGCAGGGGATTCTTCCAGACTAAGATGGACAAACGCCGCAAGGTATGTATTTATGTAAAATCTGATATAACTGGAAGTGTTGATACATTGAATGCAGTACTAGAGGAAAGACAGCAAGAAGTGTACATACAATCCCCCCAAAACACAGCAGAACAGAGTTGAGTAGAAGGGGGGGATTCACTAGGGAGAATGTCGGGAGGCAGGGAATGCAATCGTAACCCTTAGCTTCCCACGCTGCGAAGGTTTATATATACGAGGAAAAATTGAGAGGAAAAATAGACATACAGCTGTCCCCCGATCAGGAGAAGACATGTTTTTAGAAATAAAAAAACACAGCAAGAAGTCTACACACAGTTCCCCAATTAAGTAGTGAGTAAACTGGTTCTGCTCCCGAGTACCATGCATCTCCACGACAGGAAAAACAGACAAGAGATCGACCCCCTGTGAATGACAGAACTACTTAGTCCCGATCCCTAGACACTAAGTACCCACAGATTTCTGTCTGTCCTTGCTGCTCTTATATTTGGAGCTTGTGTCTGAGTCAGTCTTCCCTGAAATGTCCTTCGGGACATCCGTTAAAATTGGAATGATACACAGAAGATTGGCATTGCCCCCTGCGCAAGGATGACACACATAAATCGAGAAATGGTCCAAATAAAAAAAAAGAAAAGAAAATCTTTAACCTTCCCTTAAGTGACTGTGACATTGTTGAGGAAGTGCAGCAATAACCCTCCCTCCCTTGTTCGAACATTCAATCCTCTTTGTTGATTCCTCGTCATATTTTGGAATGCTCGAGTGCCATTTTGATTGCCCGTAATTCTGATGTTGACACCTTCAAAATGCGGCTGCTCTTTCATTCAGTTCCAAGCACCGAATATATGCACAGAGTCTGGGAGCTGTTTCAAAAAAATGGGAATTTTTTTGGTTAACGGGACACGGGAGGAACGGTACCAACTTGCCTAGCTCAGTTGGTACACCCATGAACTGCTGAAATGCTGGGCGTGCATGCCACCGCTGTCAAATGGGGGGAAGGGGGGGGGGGGGAGGGGGGGGGGAAGGACTTGATGGCAGCTGAATGCTGGGCGTGCATGCCACCACTGTCAAATGGCTCCCATTCATGAAGGTTTTCGTGCCCCAGGGTGATTTGCTTATTGAGTAAAGTTGTATGCGGCAGGTGACTTTATCAGATTATCTGTTTATAAATCTGGGCCCAAACTCATGATTTGTTTATAAACACTTACATGTGTGTACCGTTCAGCCACATGGGGTAGCCCTGTGCCATGCAGGTTTTTGTTTTTCCTGCGTGCCGTGCAGGTTATTTGATGGGTGCATGATTTCTTATAGGCATGTTATGGTCACGACATGCATGCTTGTTTTCACTGTTTGAAAGAAATCGGGGCAGAAAGTCGATCGTCTGGTTTTTAGTAGGAGAGTCCTGCTTTTGTCTCTCCGTTAGCTAGGTTGTCTGAGCCTATAACAGAAATAGACACCACGTTCTATCCTTGGCTTTCTGTTTCCATGTTTATTTGATAATCAGACAATATCACCAAGGTCCCAAGAGAAGCTCCTCCGTGCAACAAGTGGTTTCGATTTTGCTGATCGTGGACTGGCAAAGATGAAGCCAAGTGTCGAACCTCCAAGTAAGGAAATCCTTGTCCTCAACCATCTTACACTTTTTTTTTTTTTTTTTTTTTAATTATACATTCTTCTCTCGACTTTTACCTCGCACTACCTACGTATCCAAAGCTGGGTATTCCACGGTTTGTGTATCTTTCTGACACTGACCTCCATCCGTGCCTAAGTGCACGAACATCCCACTTCACCAGGATCGGACCTAACCCCTGGCAAAGGCTGGATGATCTGCTATTTCCATCTTATTTTAGTCGCCGTTGCATCTATAAGACATAAGCCATGTTCAAAAAAAAAGAAAAAAAGAAAAAAGAAAGCTCTCTCGGCGAGGGTATCGTCCAAGTGAAAGTTTTGTTGTTTCTATTGCCAGTCTATCGGCATAAGAGTGTGGAGAAGGGATGGTGGGAAAAGAGAGTGATGAAACACCTCTCTCAGCTGTATGGATGCCGATCGCAATGGAGGCCTCCCGAATGCCTCCACCATCTCCACAGACATGTCGATTTTCTTTACCAAATCATAAATAGAAAATTAGATTGAAAAACGTTTTTTTTTTTTTTGGCCTGGCCGGGCAAGTGGTCCTGGGGCACTCTGGTAGCCTAGGTATACATCCTTTAACACTCTGTTCTTGCTTTGGAAGGGCTCTTCAGGAACTACAACTACTTTGTGTTCTTGTATCTGGCTCCGAATGCACAATATATACGCATATGTGTTGTATAGATCCTTTGGTTTTGATTTTAGCTAACCTGTCAGATAGCCTCTCATTGGATTTCCAAGTGTCAAAGTTTGCTCAGGCAGGACACCGGCCTAGCCAGGCCCGTTGGTTCTCGATTTATGCGTGTCATTCTTTAACGCCCTAAAAATTGGAACGATACAGAGAAGGTGGTATTCTTTTCCTCTTTTTAAAAGGATTAGCTACTGTACGAACGTGCCTGCTGCCTTCCTTGGATATGGTAGGCATATCCCATTTCATTGCACTCTTCATTGTTGCGAGGGCAAGATATTTGTTTGCCGAGATCATGTGGGTCAGGAAGATAATATTTTCAACTTTTGGATTCCGCTTTTCTTGTGTCGTTTTGAGAGTTGCTTTCTCAGTGAATTACTGTTTGTCTCATTTTCTCTCTGAAGATGGGGACATTATTTCACATTGAGATTTTAATCAAAAGTTAATTCAACAGGGTTTCAGGTGTCAACCCTGGTTGGGATCAACGGGATGTGTGTGTGTATATATATATATATATACAGGCCCTCGTTTGTTGTCCTCTTCTCCCTCTCTGCCTACGGTTTACCGGGCAGTTCTGTTTGATGATATATATATATATGTATATATAGGTGAAACTCCGACGAAACAGTTTGTCACAGCCCCTCGTTTGTTGTCCTCTTCTCTCTCTCTGCCTACGGTTTACCGGGCAGTTCTGTTTGTGACGATATATAATAACAGCCCCGTAACAGGTGTGTACCACTTAGGTGAAAGACATGTAAGCTTATTGTGTAGGGGTAGAGGGAAAGGAGAGGGTTGGGGTCAGGAGGAAAGGGAAAATCACTCTACGGAGAGCAAAGCATATCTATTGTGATTCATGTGAAGATTGGATTTTAATGGAATGGTTATCCCCAGAGTTAAGACCTTTTTCTCACTTTCTTTTCTGTCTTTGCAGGGCGTCGAACCCTTCCCCCGAACATGTAAGTTCATTTTGGAGGGGGAGGGGGAGGGGGAGGAGGTCGTTGGGGACCGGAGGACAGGGAATGAGTGACTATTCGAAGAACAAAGTGTTGTTCTTGTGATTCATGAGAAGGTCCGATTTTGATGGAATGGTTATCGAGTGTTAACACTGTTAAGATCTTTTTCCCCCCCTTTCTTCTCTGTCTTTGCAGGGCGTCGAACCCTTCTCCCGGATCAACCAATGGCGAGGAACAGTAGCAGACTACTGTCATTCCCACTAATGGAGGGAATGCGTAGTCAGTCACGTGGAATGCAGCTTTTGGCCTCTTCTCTTGCTCGTGCGGAAGAAGAGCGCAATGCATCACAGAATGAGGTCTGCAATTCGCAGTTGCAGCCGAAGGCAGTTCAGTGTGTCCGATCAGGTCCAGGGTACCCGATCACACGCAAGCAGCAGAGTCCGTCGACTCCACTGGCATCTGTCTGCCCGGCGCTGGGACCTTCGGTCGTAGCAGGTTCTCCCCCATCATCCCCTCTGAACTGTTCAGGCAACCTGCCAAGCCCACCTCATCCACCATCCCCCGCTCCCACCCAGACTCTGTCGCTTGCGCTCTCGCCCTCTCCACAATTTCATTCGGCTGCAAGACCCCGATTGTCGGGGTCGGAGAGAGCCCTCCCTTCTGCAAGTGCTAGTATGTTGGAACCAGAAAGATCGAATTTCGAGGGGAGGATGATGATTCCGTACAGACCGCCTTCGGCGACGAAAGGCATCTTGAAGAGACCAGGCACATCTGCGGTCGCTGGAAAATGTCCCGGGTGCGCAAATGTCCAGCCGAAGATCGAGAACATGGTTGCGTTTTCAAGGCAGCAGGTGCAAGTTGCGTCCGATGTTATGGAAAGCTTGTTGACTGAGTTGCGTCAACTGCGGGAGCTTGTCGAGACACGGTTAACGCCAAGGATAAGCGTGGACGTGGTCGATGATGCTGTCATTCAACAACAGGAGGAGGAAACGGTAATGTCATCTTCTTTCCCAGGCTGACTTGTGCTGTTTCTGCTGTGGTATTGGGAGATTTAAAGATTTTAGAGCTTGAGCCTTGAGTTGAAAAATATTGAATTTACCTGGGCTGGTTTGTCGGATGATAATACCTCAAGGCCATCGCCCTTTGAAAAAAAAAAAAAAAAAAATCATGTCCATGTGGCATTCATGGAAAAACTTGCCGAAAGTGACATCGCATGTAATATAAGTCAACGAGGTTCTTTGCAAACAGGAGGGGTGAATTTACCTGAAAGGGTTAAACCACCAGCACTTCCTAGAGTCGTGCCCGTTAACGCTCCACGATTTTAGGAAACGTACGGGCTACTACAGGGGCGCCCAAATTCATCCGACTGGAAACGTTTCTACTCTATTTTTTTCTGCGGCCGATAGCTGGGCCAAGTACTGGTGGTTTAACTAATCAATGTGGCCGAATGGTACACATGTAACTAAGTTTATCGACAGTTACATGTGTACCATTCGGCCACATTGATTTTGTTTGGTCTCGTCGCTTCGGTGACTTGCACGGTCGTCGGTTGCCCTCACTCAAGTTAGCTGAAATTTGTGGGATCCTTGCTTCGATTGGTTCTTAGAATTATTTACGAAGTTCTTCGTCTTTGGGCCTCGCCACACCACTGTCGAAACAAAAAACGTTCAAATGCATGTTCCCACAGAAAGTGGCAAGATGCATCCGTTCCTATGAATAGCAACAGATGCACCTGGCCACTTTCTGGGCAAGATGCACTCGTGCTTTTTTCGTTTCGACAGTGGCGTGGCGAGGCCCTTTGTTGAAGTTTTTTCCCCTGATTTTGCAGAAATTTGCTCTTTGTGAGTTTATCACTGCCATCCTTTTCTTTTTTTTCTTTAATTATTATGTTAAAAGTACTGGTATTTCACTTGCGCCATAAAGCTCAACAAGGTCTTCTTTACCCGCCGCCTCTGAAGTCATTTCACAGAGTCGAACTAGAGTCAAGCTCAACAGAGTCTTCTGTCCCCGCCGATTCTTCCAAGCCCGTTCCCTTGGCTGTGGTTTCGCAGGATGGTAGATAGGGACAGTGGGAATCTCGTTAATCCATTCATGCGCGTCACTAATTAGATGACGAGGCATTTGGCTACCACCAGTACATGGCCCCAGCCAAGTTGAGATTCCAATTGAGCCTCGTCTAAAATTTTGGAGGCTCGGGACAAGGTGTGTCCGAAGGGCCAATAGAAAGAAAAACGAAGGTCCCATGCCGTGGAGTGGCAGGGGCCCAGCCCTGATGAACAAAAGAAAAATTCCGCCCGCCTCCACGCGGGCCCTTTCCCGAGTCCCCTAACTTTTCCGAGAAACTCATTTGGATCCTCCGGATGTATATCTGGGCCCAGGCGGGCACTGGGCCCAGATAAGCTTCTCCAGATGGTTTAAGGCAGTTTGTAGCCATGCAAGTCTTCTGTCTATCATCCTACCCTCTTCATCAGAATAGAACGCCTTGTCATTACACCTGTATTTGGGGCATCTTCCAGTCCAGATGCAGCGATGATGACCGCGCATTCCATTTGGGTGAGGACGGTAGTTCAATCAAGCAGATGTCCTCCTGAAGAGGACTTTACGTCCTGGAAGAGGATTGCACCCAGATTTTCTTTTTCTCTCTGAGATTCCTTGGTGCACAGTGTACGACTCGATAGTGAAGATTGCTTGTGGACGAGTCCAGCAAGGTGAGGGCAGGCTGGTGACTGATGGTGCTCTTGTACATTCGTTATGTTCGTGGACTTTGCAGTGGAAGGATGCGATCGACCGAGCAATAAGGCAGGAGGAAAGCGCAAGGGATAGCATGATGGAGCTCACAAAAAACTGTAACCGATGGTGCCGAGACGCCGAGGTAAGTCGTGCCAATTCTAAACCTAGTCGTTGGTCGTATATTATTTGTAAATACTAAATAGTAAATACTAATCCACAAAACAATCAAATAATTCAGAAAATGGCAAAAGAAACATGTCAAAGTTATATAAATCATAAATGGATTGGAGGTTTTTTAACCAATTGGAAGCACATTTTTCATTTACAAGCGCATTTTCAACACTACGTACCGGTGCCTACCCTTTTGTGAATACAAGGGTCTCCCTCCCTGCACGCGTATACACATGTAAAGATTTCCTAACATCCCTTTTGTGGATCTTTTTTTTCTTTTCTTTTTTCCTCCGAAAACGGAACCGGACTGTGCACTCCACACTGGAAAAGGAGGCAGAGTCCGACAAAAATCATTTTGTAACATCCCTGTGGATCTTTCAGAATGCCAAGTGCAAAATGCTTTTTGTCGTCCGCCCGCCGTGACATTTACCCTGAGGGAGAGAGATCAGTGTTCTGGACCGTCTGTTGCTGTCTCTTATACACATCTAGATGTGTATAAGAGACAGGAATATGATATTATAAATTGCTATTTGGTGTGGGTACCCTCTGCTTTCAGTCCTTTTCTAGTGCCAAGCATTTGTTATCGAACTGCGAAATATAAATGAATATTATATATGATATTATGAATTGCTATTTGGCTGTCTCTTATACACATCTAGATGTGTATAAGAGACAGATTCAATTACCTGTCAAATCTGGACAGGACGGCCTTTCAGGCCTGCTTTCAATCCCCTTTTCAAGTGCCAAGCATTTGTTATCGAACTGGGAAATATAAATGAGTATTATATATGATATTATGAATTGCTATTTGGTGTGGGTACCCTCTGCTTTCAATCCCCTTTTCAAGTGCCAAGCATTTGTTATCGAACTGCGAAATATAAATGAATATTATATATGATATTATAAATTGCTATTTGGTGTGGGTACCCTCTGCTTTCAGTCCTTTTCTAGTGCCAAGCATTTGTTATCGAACTGCGAAATATAAATGAATATTATATATGATATTATAAATTGCTATTTGGTGTGGGTACCCTCTGCTTTCAGTCCTTTTCTAGTGCCAAGCATTTGTTATCGAACTGCGAAATATAAATGAATATTATATAATATATATGAATTGCTATTTGGTGTGGGTATGTAGGGAAATGGGCCCGAGTTGAATCAGTTGCACATTTACCAAAAGTGGAAGGGGTAATTGAGTTATATACCAAGGTGGAAGGGACAGGGACAAATGCCAGCTTACGCCACATTGTGGGCCAAGTCTAAATTCTTCAGTGAGGGGGAATGGTGGACCCTATACCGCGCATCCGACACAAACAACGAAATGAGAAGGGTGCAGGGACCTATGGGAGACTATGGTGCTTATAACAACACCTGCCCGTTCTCTTTTTTTTTTTTTTGTCTCCTCATATATGAGTAACAGCTGTATTTTTACTCCGCTATTTTTCTTCTCTCAATATTTTTCCACCTCACACTAACTGCCTACATACCCCGTGCTATCTACCCGCCTATCTAGCATGACGTGCCAGGGAACCCACCTGTATCCATCCACTCTACTCTGTGCGTGGAGTAGTACCCACTGCCCCCCAGGCTCTCTCTAACCCCTATGTAGCAAGGGATGGGAAGATTTTCCGAATCCTGCCAAGGCAGGCAAGCCAACAATCTCAGCTGGTGAACCTGCCCAATTTTTTTTTATTTTTTTTTTACTAAAACTAATTAAAGTATTTTACTCATCTGTTTCGTGTAGAGTTTGGACTCAGGTCTGTATGTCAACGGGTCAGGTGCAGAGGTCGCCAAACAAATTTTTCCTCCCACCCATATCCGACCCAATCCAAGCCTTCATATATCATGTGTACCCGCACCCAGTGCCACCCACGTTATTTCATTTTTTTTTACCAAGACCCACCCCACCCGAGCTAATTAATTTTTTTTTGTACCCGTGCCCACCCACACCAAGCATCCGCAGTAGAATCCTTACCCCTACCCAGCCACACCCAGACCTAAATTTTCTCCACCCGCATCCAGCCGCACCAACGACCAATTTTCATCCACCCATGCCTGGCCGTACCCATGCCCGAAGTTTACGACCCACCATGCACTTCTTTTTTTCCCCGATTTCAAACTTAGGTCTATGCATGTTAGAAATTCACTTCCATCTTTAAACCACCGCACTCGCGACAACTTTGTTTTCAATGATTCAATAAGACATTCAAAAGCTTGAACTTTGAAGTAACGTTCAGAAGCGGAACTAAGGCGCACTCACACTAGCACTATCTTAAATGTATCTGACGGCATTTACGGCAGGACCTGTATGCATCTGGCTGCAGATCCGTCCAGAAATGAGTAAAAAAGTGCTAGTGTGAGACTGTGAGTATGCCCTAAGGAGGGGAAATTAAACAGCAGAAGAAAAAGAAGAAAGCGCACAGAGCTAGGAAGAAGGGAAAGGCGAAGAAAGAAAAGACACTGAGAAAAAAACTGCGACAACAACGGAGCGAGGTGAGTGTTCGAAGGCAAAGCAGTGGGGGAGGTACAACTATGACAACGAGGACGAAGTGATGAGAAACACAAATGGCATAGCCGCAGGTTTTGAGGAATGGGATGCAGTCGGCATTGGTCGGAGTCCACAGCGAACCGGTGGTTTGAGGTTCGACTTTCTGGTTCGTAATGTTTAGATGCATGATGAACACAAGAACCCTATGGAGAACCGGTACAAGGTCTCGCAGCAAAGCGCTCCAGGGAGGGGGTCATTGATTACAGGCACTGCGTACTCTCTCTCTCTCTCTCCCTCCCTCTCTCTCTCTCTCTCTCTCTCTCTCTCTCTCTCTCTCTCTCTCTCTCTCTCTCTCTCTCTCTCTCTCTCTC